TGGCCTAGCAAAGATCATGGCACTATTACATTTGCCTGGTCCTGTGTGAAAGAGGTTTTAATCTCAAAGTTTTGTTTGTATTTGGCATAAAAAAACAAACACGTTCTGTATTTGCAGTGAACTGGAAATATTCTAATATCTTGTTTTGCAGAACATCTCACCGTGTTATCCTTGGAGAGCATGACCGCTCCTCTAACGCTGAGGCTATCCAGACCTTGGCTGTTGGAAAGGTTTGTATTGTGCTTATACACTGTCAGACAAAGGGTACTGTACAAGTACATTTTAGTCCAATAAAGGTACAAACAATTAAAATGGCATGGTTAATGGTACAAAACAGTCCCTAAGACTCAACTGTGTAATTTAAATAAGTTTTAAGGTAAGACACATTTTTACCTTTTCATAACTTCACTATTTTCAACTTGGAAAAAAGCCTAGAATCAAGGACCAATTTGGTACAGTTATGTTCCCTAGAGGGTACCACCCCAGTGACCTTTTTCCCATTTTTTCTGACACAGTACACAAACAGATTTTCAGATCTCTCTCTCTCTCTCTCTGTCTCTCTCTCACCAATGCAGGTTATCCAGCACCCCAACTACAATTCATACACCATTAACAATGACATCACCCTGATCAAGCTGGCCTCTGCTGCTCAGCTGAACAGCCGCGTGTCTGTTGTGTGTTTGCCTGCAAGCAGTGACAACTTCCCAGGCGGCTTGAAGTGTGTTACAACTGGCTGGGGCCTGACCAGATACAATGGTAACACAGATTACATGTGATCTTATACTGTATCTGTATGAGACAGATCTGTGTATCAGGTTTAATTGTGCTTTAAAAAGACTTTACTATCAATGTTTTGTATCACATTTTGTTGGACCAGCTTTATTCCAAAAGTTGTGCTCAAAGAAAAACCTCTCTCTGAAATTTCACATCACTCTTTCTCTTCTAGCTGCTACCACTCCTCCTCGTCTGCAGCAGGCAGCTCTGCCTCTGCTGACTAACAGCGACTGCCAGCGTTACTGGGGCTCCAGCGTGACTGACGTCATGATCTGCGCTGGAGCTTCTGGAGTTTCTTCCTGCATGGTAACACAGATCAGTATAAGAACAGACCTATAGCAAATCTGAGGGTGGGGTCTGACAGCACAAGAGAATAATAAAAAAACAGTAATATTTAATATTAAACAAGGCATAAAAGAACCAACCCTACTCATGCTTTTACTCCTCTCACAGGGTGACTCTGGTGGCCCTCTGGTCTGTCAGAAGTCTGGAGCTTGGACCTTGGTGGGTATTGTGTCCTGGGGTAGCAGCACCTGCAGTACATCCACACCTGCAGCATACACTCGTGTCACCAAGTTTCGCTCATGGATTGACCAGACCATCGCCGCTAACTAAAGCTTTCAGAGCCATTGAGACCAGAAGCAGTTCTGGGCTTCTTCCACCTGATCAATAAAGATGAGATCATTTCAATGCACATCTTAGTGTTCTTTTAATTTAACAGCTGTCAGTCTGTTCATTCTACATTGGCCACAATCAGAACTGTCACATGAAACGCAATTCTCAGATAAAAAATGATCAATACAGATCTCATTTCAAATAGTGTAAGGCCCGCTGAGGCACAGACTCTTTCAGTCAGTTAATTCTCATAAGGTTCCAAATCTGTTGTCCACCTCTGACATTTGTGTGGGTTTATGTACCAAAAACAGACAGAATTTATTTTTACATTTCCATTTTGCAGCCTTTATTTATCCCTTAGTATGAAACATGCAGTTTCAGTTTAGTGTTACTGTACCTTTAAGACTGACGTGTGTGTGTGTGTGTGTGTGTGTGTGTGTGTGTGTGTATATATATATATATATATATATATATATATATATATATATATACACAGTGTGAATGGGCGGGGCTAAACTGCCCACATGCTGTTTAAGCAATAGAACAGGAGAGGGAATGTGTTATCGCGAAATAACATCACGGCTGTGATAACACACGACCTTGAGTGTTTTATTGCTTTTATGCAACAGTTAAATAAATAAAGTAATAAATTAATTAATTGGGTTAATTCCTTCCGCCAAATTATAGTTCCTTAACAAGCAGCTCGTTGCTACGTCACAGTAAAGAGCTCCGCTCACTCGCCTCACAGCCGGCAGTTCGTTCTTCAGCTCCTTACACTACATTCCGAAACCGTCATCACCACTGAGCAGCTTTTTGTTTCTTAATGCGGCAGTTTTATGGTTCAGTCCGATTTGGTCAGACTCTGAAGATCAGACTACACGTTTGGCGGATGGTACTCGGTTCATGTCTGGCTGATTCCAGGTTGTTTAGGTGTTCTTCTGTCACAGCTGCTGACTGAATAGCTTGCTCAGTGGTGATGACAGTTTGTGAATTTAGTGCAGTCTTATCTTCAGAGTCTGACCAAATCGGCTGTCGGTCAAATGTAATCTTAAGTATCCATTTTCTGTTTGTGGCAAAGTAAGAAGTAAAAACGTTCAAAATGGCTTGAGCGTCTCCTACAGCTGTCAAAATCGTTGCTTAGCAACGGCGTCTCAGCGGAGTGATACAGTGTTTACTGCATCAAGCTCTTTTCAAACGCGAGGACAGTTTGGTTTTCCATGACACAGGCCCTACAAATAATGCGTTGCTTGTTATATTAAACTTACTGATAGTGTAGTTCACGACGTGTGATACACTCAGCTATCACTTACCTACAGTGAAGTGCTTAAACTGACGCTACGTCAGTATTCTGTGCTGACCCCGTCTACTCTGCTGAGGGTGGGTAAGTCTAGTATAAAATCTACATTGGCCCAGGTTTCAGAGGAGGACTAACAGTGAAACAAAGAACATTTAGCTGTTGCTGGAATAACAGCAGCACATAAACAAAAACAAGCTATCAAGCTGTCTGCACTGCGGCGATTCACACGGAAAACTTGAGGGGTAACGTTGAGCTCAGGAGTGGGGCAACGTTAACACATCACAGGGAAACTACACGATAAATATACACAATTATACCTAAAATATACACGATTAAAATGTTATTTTTGTTAAGATACTTAGAATTAGTGACAGAAGTTAGGCCACACTTATGCCCTTTAGACAGCTAACTCAGCTAACGTTAGCTAGCTACCTACCTTATTTAGATAGCTACGGTAGCTAACGAGGGGAAAAGCTGAAAGATGGCAAACAGAAGTTTATATTCGCTGAAATAATGAATGTAAAGATGATAAACCTTGACTATGTTGAAAGCAGCGCTGCCCGATGATCAGGGATTCTCACCCTGAAACCCAGTACTTTCGGCTCATGACGTATCGGCGCCGTGGCTTAGTTGGTTAAAGCGCCTGTCTAGTAAACAGGAGATCCTGGGTTCGAATCCCAGCGGTGCCTTTTACTTCGTCACAGCCTGAACTACCTACATCATAAAGCAGCTTAGAGTCGGATGAAGCAGCGTTATTCATTCTTTATTCACTGGGCTGTAACTGTTAAACCATCATTTCATTTACAAAAAGATGAAGAACCAGTAAACATCTAGTTAAACATGAAGGTGCCTCTTCCACTGTAAATACACTTTACAAATAATTTATGATTTCAAATCTCATTTCAAGCCCCTGCAAATTCAATCTTATCAAAGTCTGCATAGGCAAAAATGAGCAGGTTGCAAAAACGTACAACTTAGAAGAAACCTATAAAGTGCAATATGTCCCTTGATTTCTGCGCAGAGTTTGAAAGCTCAGTGTTCCTTTGCTTATTACATATTTCTTCAAGACAACTGTAAAACTTAGTGTATCCATTCCAGGGGCTCCGCAAAACTATTTACAGCAAACTGACTACAGGTGGTCTTGTAACCGGCAGTGCTGGAGGAGACAGGTGGAGAAAAGGCTTACATGATAAAGCTTTCTGTGAAAGGGTGCTGACATCAGAAAATATATATCAATCAGAATATATAACACATTATACATAGTTAGACATTAGAACATGTTACCATTAAGCATTTTTGAAGTGTGCAGTGTGCATCGGTTAGTGCAATTTGATTTGTTTCCACAGCTGCCAAACACTTGCATGTGCAGGAATATGGCAGTGCTATACAGAGACGCTACTCAAAGGCATTACTAGAAACTACATAAACATTAGAGCTTATACAGTACAAGATACAAATTAGAAATATCAGTTTAGAAAGTAAATAATGAGTTCGCCAAAAAAAAAAACAAAACAACAAACCAACTTATAAGACGTAACTTATGCAGCTTGTCATGCATACTCAAACTATGTTGAACTGCTGAACACGGATATTAGTTGTGACTTTGAATAATGATGCTGAGTTCTGTCACAAGACTGCAAATGCATCCCTGAACTCCACATTTCTAGCTGTACTTTAAAAGAGGTAACAGATGCTGCAAAACAGTGACAGGAGCATTTTAGCACCTCTCTCAAGTCTCTTAGACTTTGTTAAATGACACATAGCAATAAATATATTGAGCCCTAGTCCTTATTGGTCTTCGATTTTTGTATACTTTCAAGTTCTTGATCAACACAAAGATACTGAAATACCTGGTATGAAAAAAAGTTGATCTGATCATAGCTCCTCAGCTAAAAGCGTGACAGTAAATCTGAGCATATAAATCCAGTTACTTCTGAAGAATTAACTGCAGCCTATCTTCCCGGTAAGGCACAATAACAGCATAGGTTAAACCAAATGGGCTTTAAGTATATCAAACAACCTGTTAGAAACATTTTAAATGTATATAAATGTACATCTACAGGGAGTGTTAACATACTGACCTTAAATTGCATGAAACATGTACATACAAAAGTTATATAAGGCCCATGAATTAACACATGGACATTTGCATTTGAAAGTGTACCCAAGAACCAAATTCTAGGGCTTTAAAATAAGGGGGACCCATTTCTAAGGTCTAATAAAAAAAAGAACAAAACAAAACAAAAAATAAAAAAAACCAAAACAAATGACCTTGAAACAATTAAGAGAGTAAACAGTCATACACAAATATAAAAGTCAAACAGGTCCAGAGGCCTTGCTTGTGATGGAAGACTTGTCAGTCCATTCTGTTGGTGTTGCGGTTTCAGTCGGGTCAATGTGGGGAAAAACCACAAAAAACACTCTCTGACCCAGATACGTGGCCCACTCTGTAACAGAGATAACAGACCCGATCAGGGGTTGTAAACACCCCCAAAGCTACAGTTAATACATTACGGCAACAAATTCTACCTTTGGATTATTCAGATTGGAGTAAACAGATAAAGAGTGGGCTGCATACATATGAAAACACATAAAATTTCTATTTCTCTTCATTTTCTTACATGAGTAGACTTCATAATGTACACCGAACAGGCATAATATTATGAAAACCTCCTTGCTTCTATGCTCATTGTCCATTTTATCAGCTCCTCTTACTACATAGGTGCACTTTGTAGTTCTACAATTACAGACTGTAGTCCATCTGTTTCTCTGCATACTTTGTTAGCCCCCTTTTACCCTGTTCTTCAGTGGTCAGGAACCCCATGGACCCTCACAGAGCAGGTACTATTTAGGTGGTGGATCCTTCTCAGCACTGCAGTAACCTCTGACGTGGTGGTGGTGTGTTAGTGTGTGTTGCGTTGGTCTGAGTGGATCAGACACAGCAGTGCTGCTGGAGTTTTAAGCACCTCAGCGTCACTGCTGGACTGAGAATAGTCCATCAACCAAAAATAACCAGCCAACAGCGTCCTGTGGGCTGCGTCCTGTGGGCAGCGTCCTGTGAGCACTGATGAAGGACTAGAGGATGACCAACACAAACTGTGCAGCAGCAGATGAGCTATTGTCTCTGACTTTACATCTACAAGGTGGACTGACAAGGTACGAGCATCTAATAGAGCGGACAGTGAGTGGACACAGTGTTTAAAAACTCCAGCAGCACTGCTTTGTCTGATCCACTTGTACCAGCACAACACACACTAACACATCACCACCACATCAGTGTTACTGCAGTGCTGAGAATGATCCACCACCCAAATAGTACCTGCCCTGTGGGGGTCCATGGGGGTCCTGACCACTGAAGAACAGGGTAAAAGGGGGCTAACAAAGTATGCAGATAAACAGATGAACTACAGTCTGTAATTGTAGAACTACAAAGTGAACCTATGTAGTAAGTGGAGCTGATAAAATGGACAATGAGCATAGAAACAATAATAACATAATGTTATGCCTGATCGGTGTATAATGATGTTGATTCTTGCAATACTTGATCTGCCACTTGAAGCTGATGTCCAACTTTTCTTACAATGGATGTACTTTACTAATATACTGTATATAGTCTAACCAAATACAGTATATGTATGGTATATATACTGTACACAAACTAAAAGAGCAAGATTGGTCTTGATTATTACTTAATCTTATTGGTATTAAAATGGGAATTTTCCATTTTTTTCCTGTCACCACAAATGCACAAAAATCTGAGGCGTTTCTTGTCAATGAACCATTTCACATCAAACCATCCTTAATGACTCTGTTTACATCTAAACCACTGAATTATGGTATTTTGAAAAAGCAGTAGAATACATTCTTTAACTTACCAATGAAGTCATAGATACACTTTGGCTTGTCTTTCCAATGCACTCCCAGAAAGTAGACAGGCACTCCAGTGAGCATGATGACCAAACCCACCCCACAGACTACAGGCTCCGAGTGCAGGCTGAAGCCCAGCAGCAGCGCCCAGAAGAGCAGGTAACACAAAGGAACCAGCAGACTCACCTGTGGAGAGGAGAGGAGATAAGCATGGGTGTGAGAACATGCAATCAGAGCAGGGTGGAGTCCAAACCTTCCATTAGTGTCTTCTTCTAAAAATTAGTCCAGAGGAGCTATAGTGAAATGTGCTGTTGTGGTGGTTTTACTATTCACTTCCCAAATGAGTTATCATGTGATTACCTCTGCCATTGATGTCAAGCTGCTAATTCTACCACAAGTTCAAAGCCAGGAGACACAAAGAAGCCTTGTAACAGTATTTTATGAGTAGTCACGATAGTTTTGGTTTGCATGATGATACCTTGATAGGCCTGTACAGGTTTGGCTTCTTCCATCTATAATACAGCAAGCCAGCAATGGTGACTCCATAGGAGAGGTAGTTGATGAAGGACACATAGTTTATAAGATTGTGCGTTTCACCAATGCACATGATTACGATTGTGGCAGTGCACTATGGAGCAAGATGAGGGAAGAACAGTAAGGAACAGAGAGAAACAAAGAGATGCAGATAGATAAAGAGAAAAAAATGTAACCCTCCGTGACCTTTAGAATACCATTTCTGCTATTTTGCAGTGCTATTTATAAAAGTAATTATGTAATTAAGTACATAGTTTTGTGATTAAATGTAATGACACAATCCATCATATGGTTTGGTAATTAATCACATTTACATTTGATTAACATTCTGTGGTGACAGCTTTAAATATGCACTTTCAACTTTTTCTGTTTGTTTTGACATTAAAAAATGACTGAGTTGCAGTAAAAAAGATGTTTTTCTTTTGGCAAAACAAGACGATATACAGTCGTATGCAAAAGCAATGGTCAAATTACATGTTTTGTTGATTTTTTTCTAAATGAAGATAAGTCAACACATCCTCTATGAGGAATAAACTTAAATATGTAATTGTTCTGCAAATATTAGAGCACAATTTCTATTTATTTACTGAGTTTTACCTATTGTTAAAAATAAAACATATAATATAAATTGTGCCATAACTTAACCAAGGTCGGCCAAACTTTTGCACAAGGCTGTATATACCAATAACATCAAATCAAAATAAAATATCTCCTATTATATGTATTAAAACAAATGTGAATCAACAGAAAGAAGTAATTTCTTTGCTTGTTTCTATAAGCTAAGAGTGAGAAATAATTAAACACAATGTAAGAAGAGGCATTCAATGTGGGGGACCTGGGAGGGTTAAGCACTTTTAATCTATGAACCGATAATGGTATACCAACTCACACAGACAAGCAGAGCTGGGATTGGGGTGCAGCTTTTACAGTGAATCATAGCCAGTAAGCTGGGTAAGTGTCCTTCTCTTGCACCTGAGAAACAAAGCCTGAGGGGGCACAAAAACACACAAAAACCCAGAAAGCATTAGGAATACAGGAGCATTAGCACGAGCTTTTCCAGGTGTGTCCGAAGACAGTATGATTGTGTATTTTTATGAATACAGATCCATGGTACATATTGTTTTACATATAACTTTACAGGAGAAGGTGAAAATGTACTTAAATTGTAATGTAAGTCGATGTAAAGAGGTTATTATATTCCAAGTAATTTTGGAGCATTTCTATTGGTCCATTTGTCATGAGATTTTTACACAATGTAAAGAGCAGCTGGTGTGGTGAAAATAAAATAAATGAAATAAAATTGGAAAAAATGGAAATACTTGTGCTTTTTTTGGACAATGACAATATACTTCAAACCCCTCAAAAATAGTGCCATTTTATTCACCAGTGAATGTACATAATGATTCTAGAACAGCACTCTAACTTTACATATGGGCTCAGGTTGTTCATAACTCATCAAGGGCATTGAATGTCCAGAAGGGGGCAGCAAAGTATCATCATATCATATCATATACTCTTCAGGAGGCTTTCAATAGTAAGCACATCACTTTTCTAAAAATGTCTTGGGAGGTTTGGTCTGACCTGGATGAGGTGAAGAGGTAGCCATTAATGCCTCCAAAGGTGGAGAGTGCCACAGAGATGGGCATGATGGTGGAGAACATTCCAAGCAACTTCTCCCCAAACGTCTGTTAAACATAAGTTCTGAATTTAGCACCCCAAAAACTGGTTAAATTATTCCAACTTGCCAGTATGATATGCCTTGCCCTGCAAATGCTGAAATAACTTTAGCGGTTAAACTAAAATAATAGAAACTTCCAGTGTGAGAGTTTTATTCATATCCTAATTTAGTGTTTCTAAATTCTACACACTGAGATTGTTAGGTGCACCTAGTCCCTTTTACCTACACTACGCCATTTAATCAGGTATGAGGTATGCCTATCATATAGGTGCCTTTGTTGGTCTACTGTAGACCTACAAAGGCACTGTAGCTCATCCGTTGCTGTATTTGTCAGTCACTCACTACCCCATTTTTTTGATGGAAAGGGACCACCATAAGATCACCAGGCCCAGAAAGGAATCACCATAGGACCAGATATTACTTTTATGTGAATGCATTTGGCAGATGCTCTTACTCAGAGTGATTGCAATTTAATCATGTGACAGGGTAGCGTTAGGAGTCTTGCTGAGGGACTCTTACTAGTATAGGGTGGTGTGCTTGCCCAGGTGGGAAATCAAACCCCAGCCCATTACACTGTATTACCCACCCACTATATTATTTAGGTGGCGGCCTATCCTTTGTGACACCAACATGGTAGTTGCATGATATTGTGTGTTGTACTGGTGCAAGTGTATCAGGTACAGCAATGTTGCCAGGATTTTTTAAAAAGTGTACACACATGTCCTCACAGCACCATTGTTGGCTGGTTATTTTTGGTTGGTGGCCAAAATTCAACCTATACATAACAGAGTTGTGTAAAAACACCAGCAATGCCACTGTGCTTGACACACTCGTACCAATGCTATACACACTACCATGCCAATGCCATCTCAGTGTGTCTGCTGTGCTGAGAATAGCCCACTATTCAAATAATATCTAGCCAGCGGTGGTCCTATGGCGGTCCTTTTTAATTGATGGTGGAGTGTGGTTGTTTGAGCAGCAACAGATGGGCTACAGTCTGTAACTGTGAACCTACAAAATGCACTTATATAGTAGCTGTACCTGTTAGAATGTTCAATGTTTGTAGGTACAAGGTACCTAATAAATTGGCAACATTGATGATCATATTAGACCTGTGCTTTTACACTGAGCTGCTACGGACAAACTCTACCTGAGCAAAAGACAGAAAAGGGTGTGTATTACTTACTACAGCCACAGCGTTGGAGGACAGCAGCTCCTCTGGAGACATGGATGAGAAGTAGGCGATGTTGGTGAGTGTGTACACAAAAGTCACCAAGGGAATGGAGATGTAAATAGCACGTGGAAGATTCCTGACAAAACACCATGTTTAAAACAGTACAAGGATGACTGCTGGGTTTGTTCACAGGGTGCATGTGCACAAAACATATAGAAGAACTGATAGTAGCAATTTGCAGCACATGGTATACCGCAAAGCCTTTCGTGGGGAAGCACAGATCCAAGATACAATACAATTTGTCAGTCATAAGCAAGCTTTGAGGCTAAATTAGTGGCTATTAGACCAGGCTTTGCTGTTGTATGTTGAATGCCAGCAGCCAGACTGCACAGAATTCCATAGAGATATTATACCAATGAATAGATGTCCTAGGGAGCTACAATTGGCAATATGTAATGCATAGATTATAGAACTACAGCCCGCAGCTTGTTGGCATACTGCATGTTGACAAAATGCATCTTGAGTACCGTAGATGTCACATATCGTTGTTAAACCAAGAGTGAGAGGTGTATTCTCACCTCCTGGGGTCCACCACCTCTTCTGTGACGTAATTGAGAAAGTTCCATCCACTGAAGGCAAAGGATGCCTGAAGGAAAGCCAGGGCAATCTGCCCCACTGATGGAGTCTTATAAAACTCAAACGCTATTTGTGGAGTAAGACCCTCATAGTTACCTGAGAAAACAAGATGCTCTTTATATTATTAAACTAAAGGACATTTACACACAGTACCGTGAAAGAATTTATTGTATTTTTGCTAATTTGTCAAATTTAAATACTTCAGATCATCCAACTAATTGTAATATAAGATAAAGACAACGTGAGTAAACCCAGAATGCAGCTTTTAAATGATAATTCCATTTATTTAAGATATAAGTTTTGAAAAAAATCATTATCACCCATGTGAAAAAATAAACCTTAACCTAATAACTGGTTGTGCCACCCTTGGCAGTAACAGCTGCAATCAAACATTTGAGATAACTTGCGATGAGTCTTTTACATCACGGTCGAGAAGTTCTGGACCACTCTTCTTTGCAGAACTGTCTTAATTCAGCTACATTGGAGGATTTTTGAGCATGAGCTGCCCATTTCAGGTTTTGCCACAGCTTCTCAATGGGAGTCAAGTCAGGACTTTGACTCGGCCACTCCAAAACTTTTGTTTCTTCTAAGCCATTCAGAGGTGGACCTGCTTGTGTGCTTCGGATCATTGTCCTGCGGCATAACCTGACTGTGCTTGAGCTTTAGGTCATAAACTGATGGACGGACATTCAGGATTTCCATCAGCATTTTCTGATAGAGAGCAGAATTCATGGTTCCATCAGTTATAACAAGTCCTCCAGGTCCTGCACAAGCAAAGCAGCCCCAGACCATCACACTACCACCACCATGTTTGACTGCTGGTATGACGCTCTTATGGTGGAATGCGGTCTTAGCTTTATGCAAGGTGTAATGGGACCCATGTCTTCCAAAAAGTTCCAGCTTTGACTCATCAGTCCACAGAATATTATTCCAAAGGTCTTGGGGGTCATCTAGATGTTTTTTGGCAAGTGCAAGACAAGACTTTGTTTTTTTTTGGTCAGCAGTGGTTTGCACCTTGCAGCTCTCACATATATGCTATTTTTGCCCAGTGTCTTTTTTTATTGTGGAAATGTGTACATTGACCTTAACTGAGGCAAGTGAGGCCTGCAGTTCCTTAGATGTTCATCTGGGTTCTTTTGTGACTTCCTGGATGAGTCGTCGATGCGCTCTTGGTGAAATTTTGGTAGGCTAGCCACTCCTGGGAAGGTTTACCACTGTTCCAAGTTTTCTACATTTGTGGATAATGGCTCTCACTGTGGTTCGTGAGTCCCAGAGCCTTGGCAATGACTTTGTAACCCTTTCCAGACTGGTAGCTTTCAATGACTTCATTTTGCATCTGTATTTGAATCTCTTTAGAATGTGGCATCATGTGCTGTTTTTTGAGACTTTATAGCCTGCTTCACATGTTTAGATTCAAAAGGTCTGGCAGTAATTGTGCCTGGGTATGGCTGGTGAAATTGAACCCAATAGTCAATTGAATTTGGTTAACTGGTTGATTTAGTAGCTAAGGGGGCAATTTTTCCTTATATATGAAATTATCATTTTAAATAGCACTTTGTGTTTACTTGGGTTATTTGTATCTAATATTGAAAGTAGTCTGATCATCTGAAGCATTTAAGTGTGACAAATCTGCAAAAACATAAACTTTTTCACAGCACTGTATTAAAACATACTGTTCACTCCCCAGTCTATATATGGAAACTAAGCTGCAAAAATAGCCCAGTTTGAATTTTTTGTTGGTGACTTCATTCCATTCACACTTGGAGTTATATGTGTTTCAGGCCAGACTGCTTTTTGAACAAGGCACAACACAAGAGGTCATTTATGTATATGAGTTTTAAAGGCATAGTAACAAAACAGGGTTGGGTTTACCAAAAGCATCTTAGCACAAAGATGATTCTTGAATGGCAGAGCGAGCATCAGACTAAACATTCTCTCTACTAATTAAGATGATCTTAACACTAAGATGCTTTTGGAAAACGGGGCCCAGACTGAAGGGAGAATATGAGGCCTTCATGAGCATTATGTCCAGCACACAGCTCTTCAGACATACATGTGGTCTGCCATCATTTTTATTTAAGATGCAAAACTAAACTCAGACTAAATTAAGTAAGTTAACTGACCATCATGACTTAGGATTTCACTTGACACTCAAAATAAAACACTTGTGACCAAATGTTACATTTTCGTCACTGACTGGACAATAGCCTCACCTTTATAGATCTGGAGCAGTCCTACTGCTATGATGAGGCCCAGTGCCAGCAGCTTCCCCACAGTAAAGATATCCTGGATACGTGTGGCCAGACGCACACTGAAGCAGTTCACCCATGTCAGAAATACTACAAATACAGTGACCAACAGAACACAAACAAGCACACAAGCATTAGACTCAAGGCAAACTGTAATTTATTGACCAAATACTGTAGTTCAACACTGATATGTTGTGCATGAAGTATGAATGAAAGTATGATTTTAATGCCTTTAATGAAAAATGCAGGTGGCCAAATTTGGATGCCAAGTTTTCTCTCAGCTGGAGTAGTCCTGTGATGCCAAGGCATGTTAGGAGAAACGTGATTGCGGGGCCTTTAGGATGGACTGGTGTGGGATCAATGTGTTAAGAGCCATTGATGTAGATTCACTGGAGCACGGGAATGTGGGAATGCTAAGGACAAGAGGAGTGGAAGTGTAATTGTGTCTGCCTATCCATCACCGTCACATTCTCTCTTTCCTTCTGTGAAAAATAAGGCTGTCCCCATTAGTCCCAACTAACAAATTGCCTCCTGTAGTAACAGAACAAAGACAGAGGCCGATGAGCAGGTCTGTGAAAAGACAGAGCGCGTCTCTCTTTTTCAGGACTCTTCTGTCCCCAAACAAGAGTGAATAGTAAGAGCTAATGCAATAATCTCACGCTGCAGGCCCAGCCAGCACAGTCAAGTGCTGCAGACTTGCGGCTCATGGCCCCCTGTGAGTGGTTATTGCCTGGTCAGGAATCAGTATGCTTTGCATGTTTACATCTTCTTATGTCTTTTTCTGGTGTTGCTGGTGTTTACACCTTCAGAAGAGGCTGTAAGCAACGCTTTCATTTGGTTCTGATGAAATTATTTTTCCTAACTCTTCATAGTTCTGAGCTCCAAATGCAATGGTGTTGTTTCACGGAGGGGAGCTACTGTAACTGTGGGAATGCAGAGCCGCTGAGTGGGCAATTAGGAGAGTTGGCATGTCTAAAGAACACAGAGCCAAGAACAGTAACGTTTACTCTTTAGTGCTTCACGGTTTCTGAGGCTGGGTTAATGAGCCGAACCCATTAGCACCTGATATGCTCCTTAGTGTCTTTGTGTGCCACAATATGGAACAAACTGTGCAGTCCTGTGGCATTCAATCAACACATCTTAATTAATGCTGTAAGATGCAAGCTTATAAGACTGACTCTCAGAAGGGCTTATTATTAATATTCTTATTTATTTTATAATATTCTTATTTTTTTTAGTATAAATAAAAATTAGAGCTGAAAGCTTATTTCCTTCTAACAAATCCTAAAATCATCCAGGTCAAAGCATAGTGCTGCCAGGCAGGCATTTCTTATTCATGCAAAGTGCTTGAAATCAATGGGCCTCATGTAGAGACAGTCATACAAACAGATTTTTCTTAAGTGGCATTTTACAAACAAGTTTTTAGCAAAACTCATAATCAAGACATCACTGTATTTGCTGCCAATGCATCAGCTTCTGTTTACCCAAGGGTCCTACTGTACTAGGTCCTGTGCAGGTAAATTTAAACTCTAGCTTGCTTTCACACTTTATTGTTTCGCCTTTAAATATCATTAAATTCCCACACAAAAGTGCATGTGTGAAAGGTGGTTCGGATATGTTATGAATGAGGACAAGTGGGACTGAGGCTTCTAAGGTTTATTTTGGTATTTGGGGGCATCAACTGTGCAAATTCACAATTCACCTAAGTGCATGTTCATTTACAAACAGGTTATGTTAATCGCATATATGAAAAAATATGAAAACCTTTAGTGTGCTCAGTAACAAAAACGCATGCAAGACTTAAAGGGGCATTCTGGACTAAAACCAGCATTTAATATGTTATTTGCTGTGTTAAGTAATGTAATATTATGTCGCACAGCACTGCATATCTCAGCCTCATTGGTTTGCCAGAATTCATGATTTTGTATCCTTTTGTGTTTTTATCACTACAATACCCAGCATGCATTACACAAATACAAAACCCCCAAGACCGATAAAGAAATTCTGACTGCTAGCACAGCCACTATTGTAGAGGCTTATTATTACAGACGTGATATTCGGCTTCCTAGTAGTATAGCTAGTTATATGCAGTGGTCAGCTAGTGGAAAAAACAAAAACATTCCAAAGAGACCACCCTCAACTATCCGCCATAAAGTGCTTGTAGTCTTTAAAGGCCCTCCTACCTTCTAGGTACATGATCAGAAAGGGGTTTTCTTGAAACTGAAAAATCTTGCTCTAGAGACTCTTACAGCACTGCTGTAAGAGACTTGTAGGCATGTTTAGAAGAGATGTAGCCATGATTACATTTTTAATTTTTAAAAAATAGTTTCAGATAAAATGATAATTTTCATTAACATAAAATGAAAATGTTATTGCATGAGACTCATTTCACCAGCTCTTGAACTTATCTGACCTTTCTGTTCAGTTGCTCATACTTCTACAGCAGCTCAGACACAATATACATATTTTATTAGCACTCTGGATCTGCATTACATAAGACAGCACCCTCTCTGCTAAAACCTCTTCCATTCACACCCACAAATTATTATGATGTTTAACTCTGTCTAAAGACAGAAGTGTACTAACAAGAACAGGAAACCTATAGCCACATGCAAAGAAAATAAAGTGAAAGATGTAAATTAAGAGAATCTGGCACTGGGTATAAGATGTACTCACTTATGCAGGTAGCAGAGAGCATTCGTGTGGCCATATAGGGAGGCACACAGTTAGGAAATGCAGGCTGTAGGACATAGTTGGAGAAGGTGAGGGCTATGACAGCCAGAGTGGTAGGGTACATGATCAGCACAGCGCTCCATAACAGAAGGAAGCTGGAGAGCAGAAGAGATGGAACAAAAAAAATCCTGTTGTCGTACATTTTTAAGAGTTAATTTTATAATTGAATTAATGAGACAGTCTATAATTTGTAGACTGATGGTTCATTTAGGGCAAACGCTTGACCAGTATAGTATTGCAGACACATTTAGGGTCTAAAAATAGTCTTAGTGAGTTTGGTTTCAGACTTTACTGTGTGACTTATTGGGGACAATATGAAACTGAGTGCTGATCTTTTAAAAAGGATTTAAAAGACAAAAAGTCATAGTACGTCTTGGTCTTACCCCACAAGGCCTCCAAAAATCTCTGTAACATATGAGTAGTCTCCCCCTGATTTGGGGATTGTGACGCCGAGTTCAGCATAGCAGAGGGACCCCAGGGCAGCTATGCCCCCACCTAACACCCACACCACCAGCGCCAAGCCAACAGAGCCTGAGTGCTCCAGAACCCCTTTAGGAGAGATGAAGATTCCTGAACCAATGATGTTACCTGCAGGAAAAAAAACAAAAACCCACACAACTGCATTAAACAAAACCTGGAAATGTATAGAAATGCAGCGATTCTGAAAGTTACGTTCAGGTCAGAAAGATTTAATAATATCTTATGTTAGATTACTCTTTGATTAAATCTGTGTGTTATCTCTGCAACTATACAATATAGTTGTTGTTTTTTTTTTAATCTATAGCTCACACTATGCGGGATAAAATGAACACATGAAATTAAACACATTTTTAGTACCATTTTTTAGCTAAACTGGCAATATAAACTACACTGATTACTCCTCAATAGGACAAACTGGAATTTATTTTTTTCATTTTTAAATAATTTGCCTAATTAAACAACATGATTCAAAGTGCTACATTGAAAGTAAGAGGAAACCGGCTATTTGGCACAATGGACAATGCACAACTATGTTATGACATTTTGGTATAGGTGTAGTAAATTTGCAGATTTTTATGCTGGCTTATTCAAATACAGTCCAACTACACTTACCTGCCTCCTGTTATTTACATTATAAAACCGCAATACAGATCGGCCAAAATCAAAACATAAAATTGTCTGATTGTCGAGTTTATGTTTTGAGTGAAAATCTGCTGATTCCTATGTCGGTTGATTCCGATAGTTCCCTACAATAAACTGTACAATAAAAATGATAAAAGTACTGCAATGGCTTTAAATGGTAGGTTTGTATTTTACTTTTGTCCTTTAACAAAGAGACATGGAATACCATCAATAACATGCTCAAAAGAGAATGACATGATAGACCTGGAATTTTTCAGTAAGTCTGCATCTCAACTGAACAGAGACAAATAAGATGTGATACACTTTCTTTTTAAACATAACTTTTCTTTTTTTAAGGTTGACCTGTGTGAGACCTTTCTGCCCTGATTGGAACCCATCCATGTCCAAATCTTGCATGTGATTTGCAAAGGCTAGAAATACACATACAGAGGTTAACCCCCCTCAAGCAACATCTCTCCAACAATAGACACTGCAAATGGGAGAGAATCGCCTCACGCTTGCCTCCCTGGCAGCCAAGTGGCACACAACGAGATTACATAAGAGCAGGAATAAATCATTTACTCCACTGTGTCGACAGCTCAGTCTGCCACGAGGAGCGGATCCCACTGCCCACAACACGGGGAGATTCTGAGGAAACCACAGTAACCTGCACATCATCTAAGATGTAATGTTTTTCATTATTCACATTTTTTTAAAGACAGAAACATCTGAAAGGACTGGGAAAGGCCTGCTGACCCACTGTGATGCTCTTAATGTACCAATGAACAGGTTACCAACACATTCATAGATTAATGCCTTTTGTCAAAAAGGTAAATTAAATCAACTTTCAGCCTCATTAATAAAAGGGATGAAAACAGGAACAATAAATAAATAAATAAAGAGTTCAGCACCTTAATACCAAGCAAGAAGAAGACTAATGGATCATAGTCAACAGATCACCTATGACAGTACTTAAAGTATATATTATGGAATACATTATAGATTAATTTATAATGGCTAGTGTAATTAGTGTAATGCCAACTTATGCCAAATATTTTTGTGGCCCAGTTGAAATGAGGTGATACAGAAGAAACTGGCTCCAACCTCATAAAGCTAGAAAAGGCATGAAATGAATGGATTAGAAGAGGATGGGAACAGTCCTCTACTTTTAAAGAGTTTAGCTAACTTCTCAGGGTAAACGTAAGAGAGCTAACTAATAACATAACCAGCTTAAAATGTACCAAGATTCTTCCGTAGAAACCTTTCAAAGTTTCCTTCATTTATTCTTATTATTCCTGCTTTAGTAAACAACTTCGTCTACCCCGGACTTACCTATGATAATAGTGCAGGCGCTCAGCAGTCCGATTTCTTTTTTGAGGGTCACTCTATCTGGCACCGTGTCCTCCTTTACCTTCCCGTCTTTCATGGTGCTCCTCGGAGCCTGTGGCTCTTGCCTGGCGCGGACGCCTCTTTTCCGCTCCGCTCCATCCATTTCAGCAGTCTGTAAGTAAAGCAGCCCCGGGGTCTCTCCCCTCAAACCCTTCACAGCATTCAGGCACGGTGAAAGGGACGCGCATGCGCAGCCTCCGCCGCTGCCCAGGACTGAATGCTAACTACCGCTCGACTGCTCTGTTAAAGACATGGCGCGTGATTGATTCAGGGACGAGTAGTTTGGGCTTAAAGGTTCACGTCCTGCCCAACTGACTCATTTTTAGACTTTCAGGTGAAGTTTGTGTTGTTGGACCATCTGCAAAGACTGACTAGGCGGCTGCACTTGTGCATGGATCTCATAACATGGTGTGAAGCCCCTGCTAGACAAACCAGCATAGACCAGCATGCTTGGCCACCAGTAAAACCAGGATATGTTGTGTCTTGGGTGCTGGTTGGCAGCAATGGGAGTTATTGTACTGATCAACAGCAAAACTAGCATATGTCGTGTGTTGGATGCTGGTGCGCTGATCAACCAGCATGACCATGCTGGGTGACCAGCTCCAGCACCAGACCAGCATTAGATCAGCATGCATCCCATGTGCTGTTTTTTCTCTGCCAGAGGGGCTGCTGTGACTTGTAAGGCATGAAATGTATGTTACTTCAACTTTATAAACCACAACCCTCCACTGCTTCTAAGGTAGAGGTTCCCACATTTTCCTTCTTGTAGCACTCCTGATTGAACTCACTGACAACCTCCTCATATGCTGGGTTTGGTGTGTTACAGGAGTGAAAACCCTGTGCAGAGCATAGGGGTTATCCCCAGGGCTAACTCTGGGGACAACTGCTGTAAGAATAAAGTTATCAAGTTCTCTTGAAGCAGCTCCTGCAAGGACAGAAGCTCTCGATGGGGCGCCATACAGAGGAGGCTAAAAGGCAGGAGGAAAGTGTGAAGAGTTCCTGGAGCACTGGGACATGTGTTTTACAATAGAGAGGCTTCCTCACACCCTTATTCACCCTGAAAGGATCCCTGGCGTGGAATTTAGGAAGTCAAGTCGTGAATTTGTGCTGCGGCTTTTCCCTGGCTAACAACACTGGTCGCAAAATAAAGAGCCCAGGATTCAGCTGATCTCCGCCAGCGAGCCTGTTAAAAGGGGGGCTGCTTTGTAAGCCGGCAGGAAGGCCAAAACACTGCCAGCAGTGTGCGGCACTTAAAGGAAGAAGTCGAGCAGAAAACCAATACATCACAAGAGCCACTGAGGAAAGAGGGAGAGAAATTGAGGGAAAGACAGATTGCTCAATGAGGGAGTAATTGAGAGAGTGAGAGCATACTCACTAAATGCCTTCAGAATCAGATGGATCCTAAAGGCCTCTGTAGTGCACTTGAAGCTGATAAAACAGTCAGCATGTTGGAGTTGACTAGTTAGGGGTTGATAAATGTACATTGCAATAACACAATGGTACTTTAACATAGGACACAATGAGGCATTTGCTGGCATGTTATGTTCAACTTGATTCACACATACAGTCAGTCTGACGTTACTACAAAGACACAAACATGACCCTAAATAAAATTTTCATAGGGAAAAGCATCATACATACGAGTCTCTAGAGCCATTTTTTTAAATAAGCAAACACTTTTTAGCTTGAAAACACTAGCTCCATCTTGTGGTGAGAAAATTCAAACTAATATTTACCATTACCAACTATACATTTATATATTAATGTTGACAAAAAAAAACAGATTAACAAAAAAAATCTACCAAAAAAAGAAATTATTAGTATATTAAATTGTTTAGTCATTAATCGATTAATTAAACTCAGTGTTTCTCACTGTATATTTTTAATGTACCTGATAGACAAGTGAAAAAGTTAAATAATTGTTTAATATGTTTACTTCACTTTTTTCTACAAAAAAAAGACATCTTACAAAGAAAAAACACACACACACAAACACGGCTTACAGCTGTGGTCCTTTTCTCTTAAAGGCATATGAGCTTTAGAGTGACAAAATGATCAGCTATGTATTTGGTGTTAATGGATGAAATACCACTGATTGCTCCTTGAAAAGAAGGAATATTTATACAGCATCTTGATTTGTTGTTGGCTGTCAGCTTTTTCTTCCTTTTGCTTGGTTGTGATTATACAGGTTTGGATGGCCTTATTGTAATATCAGAGTACTTGGTTTGCATCATGTTAAAGTGAGAAGGTAAGTTCTTTGTCAAAGTTTATTCAGGTTGATTTGTGGAGTAATGTCAGCTGAACTGATTGTGGAAAAAGCCCCGTATCTGCCGAGCTGTGGCCTGCCCCACAACAGGCTCCAGCTTCTGGACTGAAGCGTTGCTAATTTCATAGATGCTGCAGAAGTGCTCGAGTAGGGCCATGGCCTTCACTTTACCAACCCCAGGGATCTTCCGCACCAGGTTCAGCACCACTGGGTCCAACAGTCTGGACATACTTTTCTTGCGGAATGGGCTCTCCTTGCTCTCTCCATGTACCTGGAGGAGGCAACATACACAGAGGTCAATAAATATTTGGATGTTGATAAACTTATTGTTATTTTAGCAGTCTGCCACAGTGTGTTTGAGTTGAAATTAAATAATGGTTAAGAGCTCAAAGTGCAGACTGGCAGCTTTTAGGGTTTATATTTCTAAATTGGGTGAACAGTGTAGTAATTACAACCATTTCATACACAGCAAACCCAGAAGCAAGTACTGAAGTGTGTAGCATGTATAATCACCTATCCTCTGTTGCATCGCTCACTGTGGAGTTACAAACGGCCTCTGGAAGCAACATCAGCACAAGAACTGTGCGTCGGGAGCTTAATGAAATGGGTTTCCGTGGCCAAGCAGCTGCACACAAGCCTAAGATCACTATGTGCAATGCAAGGCATCAACTGGAGTGGTGGAAAGCACCCTGCCACTGGACTCTCGACCTCCATATTAATTCCCATGGTTTTGGAATTGAATATCCAACAAGCTCATAAAGGTGTGATGGTCATGTGTCCACATACTTTTGCCATATAGTGTATTTTTAAAGCAGTCATGAAGCCACATTGTATGATCCTCTTATAATCAAATCTTAAAGGTTATACAAATCACATAATTGAAAGCAGCTGGAAAAGGTCTGTCACTGGTGTTTTCTGAAAACTGGCAGTGAAACAGCTATAGGTTACTTCACTGTCACACCCTAAGACCTCAGTAAAGGTCAGTAAAAGTGTAAAGCTAGGCTTTCATGCTGACATCAAGGGCCAGTTTCTTAAAAGCATCTCAGTGTTAAAATCATCTTAACTGGTAGAGAGAGTGTTCCATGTGATGCTTGCTCTACTATTTAAGAATCAGCCTTGAATTGAGAAGCTTTTGGGAAACCCAGCTCTGTCTAGCATATCACTTATACAACAAAGACAAGGAGCAGTTAATGTGATCTGTGGTTCTTCTGGGCAAACATTTTTAGTAAAATATGTTCACCCAGGAGTTTTTTATTTAACATTTTAAAATGGTAGATCTACTTTATTGGTGTGTGGATGAACTGAGTGGTGTACCACTCATATATGAATAAATTTATAGCATAATCTGTCAGTTTTATAGACAAAGATTAAGCCTAGTCCAAAACTAGGCTTAGTCCCTGTCTGGGAAAGCGACTCTGAGAATACTCAAGGCCGGTGACTCACCATTTGTTCTATGAGCTGAGCAGCTTCAGCAGGACTGGCAACAGGAAGCAAGGTTAAGCCCAGCTCCAACACCACAAACTTCTGCAGCCCGCTGAAGTACTGCTCACTGAGACGAGTCTTCTCCACTATAACAATCCCACTGAGTTTGCTGTTGGACTGCAAAAATAGCATATAAAAAATAAACATATAAATATCAAAACAAATAAAAGAACCTTTTAATATTTTTTATAAAATTATTTTTTAGGATATGAGGATAGGTTTTGTACAAGTGGTTCATACAAGGTGTAATCAATAACCTTAATAAAGTTTAGAAAATAATAAATCATTAAAACAACATATTCACTAAACACCAGCATCAGTGTAGTGCAGACACATGGCCAAAACAAGAACCTTAACCTACATTTCGGAATCGGACAATTTTCCTCTTATAGTCATTCCCTGCAACCAAGTCACCCTCTGACACATACAGGACGCAACTTCTGTTACTGAGGTGAAGGTCCACAACACCAAGCTCTTCCTCAAAGATGGTTTTAACTCTCCCTGTCAAAGGAAATAAAAAAAATTACGTGAGCAAGAACCAAAATGGGTATCTGATCTTACGTAGCATGGCAGAAAAGCTACAGAGAAAGACTGAAAACTAAGCATTAGAGTTATCTCTCCACTAGATTTAGTAAATGTTACCTTTAAAACTCTGCACTAGTGTTGAGCCCCTCCACTTGGCGCTGATGATGACATGTCCATATGGAGGCACAGCATGGACATTCACTGCAGTAGCGGAGGGCTTCAAATCCATCGCAGCTCGACTAGATACCTCTCTCATTTACCTCATCAGTCAACTCTCATATTTTGCACCTCTCTGTTACTTTAGTTAGCTAGTATACTCGCTTGTTAAGTGCAGGATGTACGGCTAGGCTAAGTTAGCTAACTAGCTATAACTTCTCATTAACAGTCGATAGTTAGCTAAGAAAAAGCAGCTTAGCATAGATTAGCAAACTATCTAGAAACTGATATGCTTTTCCCACTAATAACAAAGGCTTTAAGGTAATCCTCAATTGTTTCTTTTTCAATCATAAGCAATACATTTAAGGTCACTGAATTCAGGACGCAGACTTTCGATAAACGGCTTACTAACTTGCACGTCCAGCATGTCAACAAACCATGTTAAATCTCGCGCCCGCCAACCAAAGTATCGCGATTTCCTCTGCCAGTGGTTCATTGGCTGCTGTCTGGCCTTTTAAATAGTTGAACAGTAACAGGGATGACCCACTGAACGGCGGTTTATCCTGAGGGGAAGATTTTACCGGGTTAAAATCACACGGGGCGGAAATTTCAATTTCTGAGTGAAACTCAGAGTCAGATTCAACGGCGAGCTTTGCAGCGAAGGGTCCGACCGTTTGTAGGACAACTTTGGTGAGTGCAGTATCTAATTTTGCCCGCTGTGCGTTGTTTTAACTTTAAACTGATTAAAACATAAATGTGCTAAACTGGATGTCTCTGTGCGTGTATAAGCGGATAGTTGAATTGTTTGGATGGTTTCTTAAAGGCATTTCAGAGTTTTGTGTTCGCAGACACGCTCACACGCTCATCTTCGCTGATTCCCCTCAGCTGTGGAGCAGTGAGGAGGAGGTCCATGCCCGGGCTTGTTTTGGGCAGTAAGACCTTCATTGTTGCAGTCTAACTGGCAAGTGTATCAGCAAGGATCTCAAGGTAAAATGATTAAACTGGACACACAGATTAGTCCACAGCATAAATCTAGTCATGCACAGCCAGAGCTGTTTACATTTACATGATTGTTTTATTTGGCGTTCGGAATGTGAGAGTGAGGCTCGAGTGCGTATATGGCTGTGTGTGTGTGCGTGCGTGCGTGTGTGTGCGCGCGCGCGCGCGCGTCTGTCTGTCTGTCTGGTCCTTCTTCCTAAAATCCTGAAATAATCATTTTCTATTCATTTCCTTTAGGGCCAAATGTTTCTGAGGCTTTTGGTGAGTTTGGTGTCATGGATGCTGCTGGTGTATGTGTTGGGTAGTCAGTGTGGTACAGCTGATGGCTTCTTTGACTGGATGAAAAAAGCGGCCCCTGCCCCAACCCCAGTCCCCCCAGCTGCCCCTCCTGCCTCGTCGCTTCTGCAGGGTGATGCTCCACCTTTTGAAATTAATGTTGCTGATGAGAAGTTTTTGGCTGAGGCTAAACAAATGGATCTCAGCCCTCTTGACAGCTGCCATTTCAGGGTAAGTGCATGACAAGACCTCTCCTGTGTTCTTACCTGGATCACAACCACAGACACATGCATACAGAGGGGTAACACTCAATATTACATTAATACTGGGTACATTATATGGAGTAGGCCATAGTTTGCCTGCAGAAAAGCTTTGGTCCTTCTTGGAATGCTGTCATACAAGTCCTGAGCTGTGAAGTGGGGTGTTGGATCAGGTTTTTAAGATGAAACCCCTCAAGCTCTTTGAGTCTACTTTACACAGCAATTCCAGAATGATATTTAGATCTGGTGATGGTACAGGGCCTGGAAAACGTTTTCTTGTTTTTCATGAAACTACTCTTGTTTTTGTGTAGCATTGCCTGTGGGGGGGTATTGTGGTATATGGGGACAACAGTGTTTTTACCATCTGGGTCATCTGGTCATCTTCACAGGTTGTCGCTCAGCTGAAAGCTACCTGCAATGGCCTGTCAGAAGAACAGCTGGCCAAACTGGGTGTTGCTTTGTTTAACTGCCAGGCGGAAGTCGAGGGTCGCAGGACTTACCTTTGCACTGAGGAGATGGTACTTAAAGAGCATTAAGTTTGCTGTAGGGGTGTAATGATTCTGAAACCTAGATCAAAACCGTGATACAACCCACCACAACCAGCTGACACATTTTGAGCCCTCATTACCTTAATTTATGTGAAGTTAATGTAATTTACCATGTTCTTTAGTATCAATGTTGGTATTTAATAAAACCTAGAATTTCTTAATTTTTTCTTCTTTTTTCTTTGATCTACTATGTATTTGTAAACATGCACATTAGGCGAACCAAATCAAGTAGGATAAGATATTTTAATGCATATGAATGCTGATCTTTGATCTACTGTTATAGTTATGCTACATAGTCATTTACATGAAAAAGTGCTAAACTTTACTCTGGATTTCTTTTTGTCAGTCCATTAAAGAGTGCACAGCAGACATGGATTCAGACACATGGAACGCATATCACATTGTCAGCAACCGAGCCCGTTCAGTGTGTTATGCCACACGCCAACAGCACTTCCGCCGAAAAGCAGAGCTTACTGTGAACGCCCTGATCTCTACTGCAACAAACCAGCTTGAAGCTATGAAAGACTTGAAGGTCTGCTATCACATATCATGTTTTGTGTCCTTTTCTTTTTGATTATTCTTTGGGCTTGTCTAATCTGCGTAAATCCTATAGAATTTGTGCAGCAACTGACTGACGTAAGAATCTCGGTGGACCCATTAGACATGTCTGTATAATTCTTAATGTGAGAAGTAGGTTTTAGGGCTAATTGACAAGTTGGTCAGTAGAAGTCAATTGAAAGTCTGTGGAGCTTGAAAAATGTATGTGGCCCTAAACATATTAGCAAGGCACTTAATATAACTTTGGACTAGAAACAGGGCTGGATGATCTTGATGGAATAAATTATAGAGAAAACAAACTTTTAAATGTAGTTATGTAAAAGAAAATTCTGTCTTATTCTGAATTCAGTGTTAACATACCATTATCTGAAACTCTGGTTTATTTTGCCTGCCAAAACTGCATGTGCTTACAGGAGGGGCAGCGTGAGCTTCGGGACATGACTGCTGCATCACTAGATAAACTGTTGGAGGGCCACAGTGCCCTACAGCTCCAGCAGGGTGTGCTAAAAGAGGGTCAGGAGCAGCTGGACGCCTCCATCACCACTAATCTGCAGAGGCTGGCACAAGAGAAGGCTCTCATCAGTACAGGACAGCAGCTGGTGGCACAGCTCATACAGGGAATTACACAGAGAATGGGTTTGTCATGTGTTCTATTAGATGATCAGCAGTGACTGATATCCCAAGAGTCTCTTTTGAAAGAAAATATTTTTTTCTAAAATGTATTATTGCAAATTGGTTATTTCCTAGTTATATTGCTTATAAATTACTTTTTTTTGGGGAAAGGCCATATGAGGTTCTTTTGAGACACTTTGTTTGCTGCAGTGCATTTGTTTTACATTAATTGCATGTTTTTAAATTCAATGCTTGATTGAGATTTTAATAGCTAATCTTTGCCTGTTGTTGTGTTCTGTTACATGTTCAGAAAATGTTAGTGAACAGTTGAAGGGTCAAGGTACAGAGGTACAAGAAGGTCACCAGGCCATTCTCGATGACCTGGCTGAAGTCAGAGGACGTGCTCAAGAGATCTACAGTAAAATGGGTAATTCTTCAACATTCCCTGGCATATGTAACTATACTGCGACTGCTTTCTCATTAAATTGTTCCTCATTCAGCACTGGTATGATGATGTGTCTTTCTTTTGAACTGGTTCCTTTTAATAAATCGATTGAAGTGATTTCTAAAGTCAAGCGAAATCAAACTTTTCTGTAGTGTCTTTAGAATGTTTGTCGGTGTTGCAGCCTGAAGAATTCTAATATAATTAACATAAAGATCTTTTAGTTTTAACGAAAGTAAAGATTATCTACTTATTTTCAGATTTAAACTTAAACTCTACTGTGTTTTCATGTTACCTTTTAATCTCCTGATATTCTGCCTCTTTTTAAAATCTTTTTAGAGCTTAATTTGAATGGAGTACTGCAGCAGCAGAACACAACTGCACACTTCTATGCTGAACTCATGGGGAAGCTGGAGCGCATGAACAGCACTCTGGGATATATGCTGACGTACCTGGACAGCATGCAGAACCGGCTAGAAGATAGATTGCACATGATCCAAGGCTTCTTGGGATGGGCTGGTATACCCCAAATGTTTATTATGTGCTATAGTCTCAAATATTCACAAATGATTTTACTTTGTGCACATGTGGCAAAAACAACTGAAATAAAATGAAATACTACTTTTTTTTTTTTTCTCCACCCACTTTTAGTGGTGGCCAGTTCCTACCTGTTAGCTAGCTTACCTAGGATGAAGAGTAGTATTCTAATATTCCCTGTAGCCAATTAGCAAAAGGTTTTTTGTTTGTTTGTTTGTTTGTTTGTTTTTATTTACTTGTTTTAATTTTTAATCAAATTGGGCTTGGATATTAGAAGTCATGGTTGTTAATTCTTCCTTGCTTCCTCAGGTCTGAGCCTGCGTGCCCTGTGGACGTGTGTGTTGCATGCTGGGTATTTCCTTTTCAGCGCGGTGCTGCTGTCCTTCTTGCAGTGTCCCACTTTCTCCCGCGTCTCTCTGCTCATCACCGTGCCAATCAATGCTATTGCTGAGGTCAATCAGCAGTCAGCCCTCGACCTGGTGACACTCTCGCTGCTCCTCTTCACACTCTCACTGAGTTAGTCTTACTGTAAAATGTTATGCTTTTTAAATGAAAAGTTTTTGTATAAAAGTTGAGGTGCACTGAGATCTCTTACTATTTTACAGGTCGCTGGTTTCTGCTGCAGTTGCTGTGGATGCTGTCCAAACTGAAGGGCCAAAAGTGCACTGCTGCTCCTCTTCTGGCTCTTCCAGTTGAGAGAACTCCTGAAAAAGTCTCCAGACCTGCATGCCACCCGGCAACGTCCTCAACTCCTCAAGAGTGAGTCTTGGCATGAGAAGGAGTTCCTTTAAAGTGACTACTTGGCAAAAAAAAAGTTTTGTTAAAAAATGTGTTAAAAAATTTGCTAAAATGTAGTTCCTCAGCCAAGACATATAGTATAGTATAGTATAGTATATATTATATTATAATGTACAGAACTTGACATGGTTAGATTTAGGCATGTAGTTTGCATGATCCAAAGCAGAACTGAATAAGCAGACAGCATACATATCTTTGCTAGACATTTGGGATAAGTGGAGAACTTAAGCCCCACCTAGGTTTGAATCCATCATCACATATCTTTAACTACATTTGTTTGTCTTTAGAAGTGCCCTGGACTGTGATTTGGAGTCAGAAGTGCCGTGTCTTGGTCAAGACAGCTTTATGACCGGTGTGTTCTCAAACTGACTGACAAACATGCAGGCAGACACAAC